ACAATTTTTATTTTGCGTCTGGCACCTTACGAATAGCATATGAATTTTTTGACAATGCAATTCGATAGCCCTCGCAAAGAGCTATAAAATGAGTCTAAATTTGTTTATGAAAGGTTTCATTGTAAGAAGTTATTAACAATTATTAACAATAAAACGATGAAATCTGTCCCGAGTAGCCCCAGTTGACGGTATCGAATAGATGCAGGATATAATTCATTCAGGGGTCTTGCAACTCCAAAAATGGCAGAATTCCAGAAACTAGCTAGCTAGTTGGTCATTTAGCTCCAGTCCAGGCATGGAATATATCTACTTCACTACTTGGCATGCTGCGACTGAATTTTTTGAGCCGTGATTTTATTGATTTGTCAGCCATAATTCCATTTCTTCAAGCCGTGATTCCATTTCTTCAAGCCGTGATTCCATTTCTTTGGGCCATGAATTTCATTTCTTTGGGCCATGAATTTCATTTCTTTGAACCATCAATTTATTTCTTTGAGCCATGAATTCCATATCTTGGCCATGAAAAGCCATTTACAAGGCAAATTTATTTACAAAGTCCATGCACGTGTTACCCCAAATCTCTAATTTTACCCTAAAACAGTCAAATGGCAACATTTACATATGTCTTTACTGTAAGCTGAACACGTGTTAATGCTGTCTGACGCATAGTGGCAAACTAGAGATTTTTTGGAATCGTTTAATTTTTAATTTCCTCATTTACTACTCAATATTTAAACCAATTTCTTATGTATGATGATGCTGGTACAGTGAAATGAGGTAACTTTGACCACTTTTTTTCAGAATGATGCTTGCTGTGGACAAGGTTGTTGTAAATGCTCAATGGCATGCTCATGGATATGGTAATATCACATCAATAATACAGTAATATCCCATCAATAATACGGTACCGTCAACTAGGGGATTCCGCCATGTTCATAATGATGGCCAAGGCAGGGTCATAAACGATGGCCAAAGTCACTCTGGCATTCATGACCTCATTTACAACCCTGGCGTTTATGACCCCGGGCTTTTACGACCCCGTTTTTGTTTGCAAAACAAAATCAAAAACGTGGCTGAAGTCACCTCAGTTGACGGTAATTAATGTTTATGGTAATATCATATCAATAAAGGAAAAACGAGTAAAAATCACAGAAAATGTCATTTATTTTACCTCTACATCATCTACGATGAAAGAGGAGGACTTCAGAGTACTGTTAGTAATGGATGAGTACACTCTGCATTCTTCAAATATTTTAAAATGAAGTTTATTCCAAGTGTCTTGAGTAGCCCCGTTTGACGGGGCTACTTGGGACACTTTATTTTTTGCTTCTGGAACCTTACGAATAGCATATGGAATCTTTTTTACCATGCCATTCGATAGCCCTCGCAAAGAGCTATAAAATGAGCCTAAACTTGTTTATGTAATGTTTAAATCCTAAGAAGTTATTGACAGTTATCAAAAAAACACTCAAAACTGTCCCGAGTAGCCCCGGTTGATGGTATATAAGACTGTAGAGTCTGAAACATAAAGAAAAAACATTAATAGGTGCATCAAACATAAAATATGTTATATAGGTACATATGATAATTTTAACTTAATTTCCAAGCCAGTCAATGTTACCCCATCATGGCTGCCATTAGGTGGTCAGAGTTCCCCCATTGGGGGGTGGCACCCCCCATTTGCGAACTATGACAATTTCCTAAAATTTGTCATTTGCATATGTAAGTAGAAGAGTTCTACTACAATGCATCAAAACCTGGAGTTATTTTACCAAAAAAAAAATGAATAAAATTGGAGGGGGTACTCCAACAGGCTTTAAATAATAGCTCTTTTTTGTGGGTCACATTTTAAATTTTTTAACCTATTAGATATGCAAACTTTTAAAATCTTTCTTTTGTGTTACGTAGCCTCAGTATTAGGCCTTTTATGGCCATTGACAAAATTTTTCTATGTAAAATAGTTTTTGAGTTTTGGGGGTTTTTCTTAAAAAAACGAAAAGTGGTCAAAGTTATCCCGGGAGTCAAAGTAACCCCATTTTATGGTATGTGGTGTCTGAAATACTTAACCAGTCTACCTATAGTATGGTACTCAAAATTTAACTTGAGGGAGAGTCTAAAAAACTCGGCTTTGTCACTATGGTCACTCTGATGTGATGGCAACTATGTGCGATCTTCAACGAAATGTTAGGTTGACTTGTTTACATTACAATGATTACGTTCTGCAGGATATTTTGGCAGGAATGATAGAGTAATGCAGATTGTGGAAGTGGAACATTTTATGAAATGGCAAGTTTGCAAAGTGCAAACAGCAATTTTTTCAATCAAACAAAAATTTATGACATTTGAGCCATGAGATTTCATACCTACTAAAATGATATGATATTAGAGCCGTGAAATATCAGAAAAAATATGACTTTTCCAGCCCTGAGCCCCACCAGGAGGATATAAATGCTCCACACCTGAGGATGGGCAGTGGTTGATGCAATTTGAGGCTTGAGGCTGAGGGCACTACAAGAGTGCTGAATTATTAAGGAAATGACAGTGATTTGGGAGCTGGAGTGCTGCAATGCACTCCTCCAGGGCATCCCGCTCCTTTTCCAGGGTGTGTGCTCCCATATTGGTCAGCGCACTCCTAAATTACATAGGTACATGGTCATTTAGAATGTCACCATGATGGCAGGAAACCTTTAGCTGCAGGTTAAATGGCAGAAATATCATATATCTGTTGTTTAACCTGCGACCAGAGCAGGGTTGGTGATTTTTTTGATTTTTTTTAATCAAAAATCAATTATTTCTTTTATTTTTTTCATGATTTTTTTTATTTTTTCAGTTTTTTAGTTTTTTTGAATTGTTTTTTTTTATGTTTCAATTAGCCTACTAACAATAACAGTATATGGATCATAATGGATGGCTAAAAAGGGCACTTAGTGCCTTCAATAATGGCCAACAGGCCAAGGTGGTGTTTACCACTTAGGGATTTTTGGGTAAACAATTATTGATAAGTCTATTCATTAGCTTTGTAAAGGGGACATCTAAAAGAAAGGGTGTTCAGAAGTTGCCCTCACACCCTACCACAGCTAAGGGAACGGATTATTGCAGCAGAGGTTATGACCATACCTCGCCACATGTGTGAACGTGCTGTATAAAACTTCCGAGAATGACTCTAACAGTGTGTTGCAGCTAACAGACACATCTTCCTGATATTGTTTTCAAAACATAAGTATTCTAAATGGTATGTTATGCTAATCTTGAAGAGAATAAACTTTCTTCTTTATGTACATCCATTATTCTTTTATTCCGCCTCAAAACTGTTCAATCAGTTCTGCCCCACCCTGTATAAGCTAGCTAACACATTTAAATTGTATATTGTAATCAATATATAACAAATAGTCAAATAGTTGAAGACTATGGTACTTATAGCCTTATAAGAATTACCATCAACTGGGGCAACTCGGGACTGGCGGGGCAACTCGGGACGCACCTCTGACACGTCGTAAAACAGTCATAGTAGCGAAACTAATTGGAATATTGCTAAACTAAATATAGTGGCCTAAACAACAACATTTTTCCTATCTACCGTATGTAGTATAAAGGAAGTCAAAAAATACAACATTTACTAGCTTTGAAAAATTCCTGAAAAAAATGGTGAAAAATGCTATTTTGAAAAGTTACTTCTGCTAAGGTCTGTAGCAAAAAAAATATTTGCCGTATTAAAAAATTTTACTTACATAAAAGTTGCACCCAGGTGTCGGCTTGAAAACGTAATTGACAGATTTTGCCTATGTCATTACAAAAAAAAATGGCGGCCATTTCCGCACGGCGGGGCTACTCGGGACACCCCCCCGGGGCTATTCGGGACACCCCAGAAAGCACATTTACAGTAGAACCTCAGTTAGCAAAGGCTCCAGTTAAGAAAAAAATTGATTAAAAACAAAGAATATTGATTACATTTACCTCCCTGAGCGAAAAAAAAAGTTCACTTATCCTCTCACAAATTACAAGCCGTCCTGTAAGCTTACAGATACAGAAAAAATGCTATGATGCTGCTGATATGAAGCTTGCAGTGGACAAGGTTGTTGTAAATGCTCAATGGCATGTTCATGGATACCATAATATCCCATCAATAATACAGTAATATCCCATCAATAATATGGTACCGTCAACTGGGTGATTCAGCCCTGTTCATAATGATGGCCAAAGTGGGGTAATAAACGGTCATAAACAGTGGCCAAAGTCACTCAGGCGTTTATGACCTGGTTTACAACCCAGGCGTTTATGACCCTGGCGTTTATGACCCCGGCGTTTACGACCCCAGCATGAATCAAAAACACAGCTGAAGTCACCCCAGTTGATGGTAATTAATGTTTATGGTAATATCATATCAATGAAGGAAAAACTAGTAAAAGTCACAGAAAATGTCATTTATTCTACCTCTACATTGTCTACAATGAAAGAGGAGGACTTCAGAGTACTGTTAGTAATGGATGAGTAAGCTCTGCATGCTTCAAATATTTTAAAATGAAGTTTTATTCCCAGTGTCCTGAGTAGCCCCGTTCGACTGGGCTACTCGGGACACTTTTTTTGCTTCTGGTACCTTACGAATAGCATATGGAATTTTTTTGAAGATGCCATTCGATAGCCCTCGCAAAGAGCTATAAAATAAGCCTAAACTTGTTTATGAAATGTTTCATCTTAAGAAGTTATTAACAAAAAACACTCAAAACCGTCCCGAGTAGCCCCGGTTGACGGTAGCTAAGCTGCTAGCTACGTACAATGTATTGCACACTTGATGCCTCTGTACCAAAAACATTCAATTTATTGGAACCTAATACACACTAAAGGCAACAAGTTATTTACCAATTTGTTATTCATAGTACATTTATACAAAACCATGAATAACAATACCTCAATATAAATTAAAGACTGCCACTCAATATATTAAAATATATGAAAAAATAAAAAAAATCAAAAAAATAAAAAAAATCGTCATTTATTTATAAAAAAATCAAGTGATTTAATCACATGATTTAATCATTGACAACCCTGGACCAGAGTATAGATCTTTCCTACCATTTTTTTGCAATATATAGGTATCATATAATATATAGGTATTGCATGTAGATATATTACAGGCTTAGCTTAGGCCATTGTGTTACCCTTTTAAAATATGTGATTATTTCCCCCAGGAAATAATCATCTGAGCATAAAGCTGGTACTAAATTTGCTAACTTGCTGAATTTATATGCTGGGAACTTTGAGCAAGATGGCTTGTTATCAATCTAAACAGGCAGTTGTCATGCCAGTGCTGTTGGGATTTGTTGATGAGGAAGTTTACCAAAAAAATCAGTATACAACGAATCATAAAGTCTCTAAAATTGGAGGAAAGCCGGTGAGTGGTTTTTCTTGCATGATAGATTTTAACTATCAAAGTTCCATAGTACATTAAAGTAGGATTGAATTGCATGACTGAGTGATCACAATTAGCCTTTTAATCACTAGTATATATACCTATATATACTAGTAAATATACCCAATATATATATTAATATATAGGTATATCTAATGAGTAGACCTATTATTCACTAGTACCATATAGTACCACAAAGTTAAGGAAAATTTCAGATATCTGCATAGTTTGCACCTACTCCCATGAATTTTATGTACATTTTTTCAGAAATGCTTGTGAAATATTTTTATTTCATGATTGTTATCTGGTAAGTTGTAAAATAGTACTTTTGATATTTCTTATAAAGATCACAAAAGTATTCCTGCTTCTTGAAAATAAGTTTTTAATTTCTATTTCAAGTTCAATTAACCTATTTATGATTTTTAATTCATTTTATACTTAGGACTGGCCAACTTTAGCTGGATGTACGTCTCCAGTATGCAGTGGGTGTGGAGCCGTGCAGGCTCTCATCATGCAGATCTATGCTCCCCTGCATTTCTGTCCAGACCACAGAACTCTCTACATTTTTGCCTGCCTCACACCCTCTTGCTGGGGAGCTTCTCACAGGTAAATATGTACTAAATACACCAATACCGGTATTTGATGATGAATTTGCATTTATGACTGCCAGTCTAAAGGCAATATTTTGTCAAAAGAGCAAATTGTAAGGCAAAAAAATTTTATGTTGGGAATAAAATTTAATTTTTACAAGGTGATAATTAATCCTGCATTTTTTCAATCCTATAAATGTTTTTCTTTTTGTTTACACATTATTCTTGTATGAAAAATAGATGGTTATTCGAAAAAATTTTCATTCACCACCTTCTTTGTCTATTTACAATCTTCAAGAAAAATAGTACTGTACCTAACTAATTGTAAATCACCTATCTTGCTTCTGGTCAGCTGGACTTGCATACGTGTACAATGGCCAGCCTCTCCCGTACCCGAGAGCTCAGGCCACAAATCTTCCAGCCGTTCACAGGCTTGTGAAGAGGATTCGGGTGACATGTTTGAGGTTGCCGATGACTGGGGCAGCGACTCTGAAGATGACAGCAATGCAAATGTTGACTACCCTGTCACAGAAAATGCAAATCTTAATCAGTTGATGAACATCAATGAGCCTGTTGTGAATGTGGTGCAGCAGAAGAATTTTGCAGCAGATCAAGCATATGAAGCTGGTAATCTCAATAACAGAAACATTTTTGTTGCCAATGTTGCTGAAATGGATGAGGAGAGCCAAGCTTTAGGGCTTGACAGACTTAACCTGAACCAGGTTTGTGCTAAGCAAGATTATAGCATCTATAGACCTTATACTTGCATTTAACTTTTACCTGACTTCCTCCAAATATTTCTATTTTACTCATCAAAAACTGTGTGGACAACCAAACAAGATGAAGCAAATTTGACTGAACATTTTATTTTCTGTTCAAAAATGGTAACTGCATTCTATTTGACAAATATACATGTATGATACTATTCATAATATATTCAACTCAACAACATTACCTCTACCTATTAATCTTCAAATATTTATGTACTTCTTTTATCATTTACAAAGGGCAATGGTAATGGCAGCGGGATTGCGGTGAGAGGGGCGTCTGGTGGAGGACTGACAGGGGAGGGGAGAGGGGGTGAAGTGGATGAGGGGGAGGGGGGTGAGGAAGCCACAGCCCTAATTGAGGGAAGTGAGGACGACATGGTGGCGGTTGACAGCCCTGAGCTGCCCTCGCAGGACATCTCCCTCTGGTTCAAGGTTGGTATGCAATTTCTCTAGTTTTTTATCTTTTTTGAAGATTTCTCAAATAAAGTACCTACAGTAATCTATAAATGTATTTCATTGTAGTATTATAAAAATAGGCTATGTTACTGAAGCAATTTTTGTGTAATTTTAAGACTCCATGGATATTTTTTCCAGGCTTTCAACTGTTGGGACTACTAAAATGATTTTTTTTTGCATTTCTAGGCAAGTAAAAAATTTTGCATTCATTGGTAGTATTGTTTTTTACAAGAACCATATATTATTGAATATTACTGGAATCACATTATCTCTAACTCAGTAATTGTCCTAAATATTCAGACTTACAAATGAAATTCTACTTGAAAGCTCACCAGTGAGTGCCTCACCATAGCTTCCCTACCTTTGCTCTTGTTATCTTTTTCATGCACACCCTACATTATTGCTGGCATTCATATTATCTTGAAATTTATCTCCTTCATCCATCTTTCATACTGCTTTTAATTTACTATGCTTATATTTATAATTATAATTGCATAGGTACGCTCCTAATCATTGCATATTTTAATAATTTCAATTGTAAGTTTTTTGTCAATTTTAAATAATTATGTTCTATTAATATATCTTGTGTATGTCTGTGTGAATAAAGAATCCAAAGTATATGCTAAAACTGCAGTATTTTTTACCCCAGGCCCCTGCAGCGTCACGCGTCTCATCCACTTGTGACAGTTTGCGGGAGTTCTTCCTGTGCTGCGAGGAGGAGGTGCTGCCTAAGGGCGCCGCCCTCCTGCTGGGGCACGAGCAGGAGCTGCTGCACCGCTACAACGCTCAGGTGCTCAGGCAGTGCTTATTGTTACACTCAGATAAATTACTGGGTTATATTGTCAAACTAGTGACACTCTTTCTGTGCACGTTCCACTGATATGCATTCATACGAGGTCAAACTGTGTCAGTATTATCCATGCAAAATCAGAATATGATTCACTTTTTGGACAGAGTGTCACTCATTTCTATTAGTGTATGATTATTCACTATTATTTGGCAATTAGCATTTGCAGCAATAGTTAGCCACTGTGCTTTGGGTGACTCATCACTTTCAAACTTTTTCAAAATGTTTACTATATACTATCCAGGGCAACCTAGGTGAACATGCTTTATTGCACGTATTTCTACTGGGAGCCTTTTCTTCTAGCAACCAATGCAACCAACTCTCAATAAAGCATGTTCACCTAGGTTGCCCTGGATATAACTGTTATAAATAAGTTCTGTAGTGATTATATTGTACAGTGTTTTCTTTGAATTGATAATATGGAATGACCATATACTTATGAGCTTTAATGTTTTGAATCACATAAGACTTACATGCCTCTAATCCATGCTTTCTCTTATAAATGGTTTAAAAATTTAAAAGCACAATAAAAATGTCATTTAACTGAACTCTTTTCTATACCCTTATATGTGAAATATTCAATTATTCATTAGTAACATTTTTGAGGAAATTTATATTGAGCTTTTCTATGCCTTCCTACATGATATATTCATGTATATGTAATGAATATTGCTGCTTAGTTGTACTCTAAGCCCCCCCTATTCCCCCCACGTCTAGACCCCCCGAGGCTCAGGTGTGGGGGGCGGGGACGACGAGGGCAGTGACGGGCGCTACGTTAAAAGCGTCCCCGCCCACGGGGACGTCTACATGCAGAAGTTCCAGAAGCGCGTCGCCCACGCGCCCCACCAGGTCCTAAGGTGGGTCATTGTGTCCTAAAGTGAGTCATTGTGTCATAAGGTGGGTCATCAGGTTCTAAGGTGGGTCATTGTGCCCTAAGGTGGGTCATTGGGTACTAAGGTGGGTCATTGGGTCCTAAGGTGGGTCATCAGGTTCTAAGGTGGGTCATCAGGTCCTAAGGTGGGTCATCAGGTCCTAAGGTGGGTCATCAGGTCCTAAGGTGGGTCATCAGGTCCTAAGGTGGGTCATTGTGTCCTAAGGTGGGTCATTGAGTCCTAAGGTGGGTCATTGAGTCCTAAGGTGGGTCATTGTGTCCTAAGGCGGGTCATCAGGTCCTAAGGTGGGTCATCAGGTCCTAAGGTGGGTCATCAGGTCCTAAGATGGGTCATCGGGTCCTAAGGTGGGTCATTGTGTCCTAAGGTAGGTCATGGTGTCCTAATGTTTGTCGGCATAATAGTCAGTTTACTTGCCTATTAAAAAAAATTGCGAGACTTCTTTCAAATATCGATAGATTTTTGTCATCGTGTGGGTCATCCTGACCCAGTTTGGCACATCCAAAGAGCGTATCCATGCTTTTCTGTTGTCTGCTCGTGCTCTGGGGTAAGAAAGTGTGTCACAATTAGCACCATATACCCCAAGCATTTTCTGGAGTTTACTTCTGCACGACCATGAAAATACAATGTCCACAATTACCCTTGTTTACCCCCACAATTACCCTTGTCTACCCCTAAATTATCCTTGTTTGTCCCCCATAATTTCAATTGTTTACCCCTACAATTACCCTTGTTTACCCCACACAATTACCCATGTTTACCCCCACAATTACCCTTGTTTACCCCATAATTACCCTTGTTTACCCCCACAATTACCCTTGTTCACCACCCCCCCTCTATAATTGCTCTTGTTTACCCCTACAATTACCCTTGTTTACCTTACACAATTACCCTTGTTTACCTTAAACAATTACCCTTGTTTACTCCATAATTACCCATGTTTACCCCCACAATTACCCTTGTTTACCCCCACAATTACCCTTGTTTGCCCCCCCCATAATTACCCTTATTTACTCCCCACATTTACCCTTATTTAATCCCCCACAATTACCCTTGTTTACCTCACATTTACCCTTGTTTACCCCACAATTACCCCTGTTTATCCCCCTTAATTATCCTTTTTTATCCCCCACGATTACCCTTATTTATCCCCACATTTATCCTTGTTCGCCTCCACAATTTCCTTTATTTACCCCCATAATTACCCTTGTTTACCCCTACTATTACCCTTGTTTACCCTACACAATTAACCTTGTTTACCCTACACAATTAACCTTGTTTACCCTACACAATTACCCCTGTTTATCCCCCTTAATTATCCTTTTTTATCCCCCACGATTACCCTTATTTATCCCCACATTTATCCTTGTTCACCTCCACAATTACCCTTATTTACCCCCACAATTTCCCTTGTTTACCACCCACAATTACCCTTGTTTACTCCCCACAATTACCCTTGTTTACCCTACACAATTAACCTTGTTTACCCTACACAATTACCCTTGTTTACCCACACAATTACCCTTATTTACCCCCATAATTACCCTTGTTTACCCCCACAATTACTCTTCCTTACCCCACAATTATCCTTCTTTACCCCCACAATTACCCTTATTTACCCCACGATTACTCCTATTTACCCCCACAATTTCCCTTGTTTACCACCCACAATTACCCTTGTTTACCCCCCATAATTACCCTTGTTCACCCCCACAATTACCCTTGTTTACCCCCACAATTACCCATGTTCACCCCACAATTACTCTTCCATACCCCACAATTACCCTTCTTTACCCTCACAATTACCCTTATTTACCCCCACGATTACCCTTATTTACCCCCACAATTTCCCTTGTTTACCACCCACAATTACCCTTGTTTACCCCCCACAATTACTCTTGTTTACCCCACAATTACCCTTGTTTACCACCCACAATTACTCTTGTTTACCCCACAACCACCCTTGTTCACCCCCACAATTACCCTTATTTACCCCCACAATTACCCTTATTTACTCCCACAATTACCCTTGTTTACCCCCTTAATTACCCTTGTTTACCCCCTTAATTACCCTTGTTTACCCCGCAATTACCCTTGTTAACCCCTACAATTAGTCTTTTTCACCCCCGCAATTACCCTTGTAGCTAACTAATCGTGATAACCGAGTTAGGTTCTGTAAACAAATGATAACAAATTTAAGATGTAGCAATAACGGTTAATCCTTGTTATTCCTAAAAAAATTGCTATTCATATATATTAAAACTCAAATTTATATGTCACAATATAACTATTAACAAATATCACGCACAAATTTACATGTCACAATAAATAAGGTCACAGAATAAAGGTTCACCAACAGTGAAGTGCAAAGTGCTTCACGACTAACAGAATGAAAGTGACGCGCTCGAATGATCAAGGGTAACAGACTTTTTCTCTAAATGAAAATGCTAGTAAAGATCGAAATGCAAAAACTTCTTAATGGAAGAATGAGTACAAATTTAACACCAAAAATTTAATAAATAACTGTTTGAATGATCGCCAAAAATATTATAAGGAAAATCGCGGTATAAAAATTAGAGACGCATGAGGCGCGGCTACACCCCCACAATTACCCTTATTTACCCATAATTACCCTTTTTTAGCCCCACAATTACCCTTGTTAACCCCCACAATTACTTTTATCAACCCCCATAATTACCCTTGTTTATCCCCACAATTACCCTTGATAAACCCCCACAATTACCCTTATTTACCCCCACAATTACCCTCATTCACCCCCACAATTACCCTTATTCACCCCTACAATTACCCTCATTTGCCCCCACCCTCGACCCCCGCGTCTCCCCCACCAGGTACTGCAGGCACTCGAGCTCAGGGCCGCTGTTGCTGCGCCCCTTCACAGGCCTCGAGGGCAGCACCTGTTGCCCTCACTGTGGTTCCCCTCTCATCTTCGAGCTCCAGGTGGGCGCGAGGCTTTAATGTTTCTCTCTAAATATTATATGCCGAGTAATTGTTCACGGCCCATACTTTCAAAAAAGTTAAGAAATCGTAAGTTCATCAGCCAATCATTAACGGCCTTTCAAGCAAAATCCACCAATCATAGACAAGAAAATAGAGCGTAAGTACTTACGTTCACTTAGCGAGTTTTGAAAGTATGGCCTCTGATTTTTTATATTATAGGTGTCTGCCTCCTCCTATATTTTATTAATATTAATTTATGTACTCATCGCAATACCGGCCTGACACATCAGCATATATGACAGTTCTACATTATAGCAATTCATCATTATAGTGTTCCATCACCATAACATTTCAGCATTGCATGAAGTGCATTTTGCAAACTTAATACGTGTAGGTGTAATTAATTAACATTCTGAGCAAATTGGGCAACATCTTGAACATCTACGTTAGGATAAAAGACATTTTGGTAATATAATGTTCAATGATGAATTGCTATAATGATGAAATGTGTTAATAATGAAGTGTTCAATAATAATATGTCAAGGTACCTATCGTAACTCAGCGATCGGTTCATGTGATCAACCGCCAGGTGATGCCGCAGCTCATCCCTCATTTGCTGCCCCGTCCGGCGCTTTCAACAACTTCAGCCGCACCCGCGTCAACCACGCTCAACATTACAGAGACATTCAACAAAACTTCCATCAAGTCACCACAAAACGTCAACATCAACGACACCAAAGACACTAGCGCCTCTACGCGTAGCAAGAACTCCGCAACCAAATCCAAAATGTATTCTAGCAACCGACAGTCTCTGGAGTCGGTGAACTCCATTGACCTGCAAGACCTCGCTGACAGCGCCGGTGTAGAGAAAAGTCCTAAACTTCGTTCAAAGAGAAATAAAAACATCATCCAAGATGAGGCGAGCATGGATGCGACAGTCGCTGCCAAGAAATCTTCATCGCCTGCCGATGTGAACGCTGGGACCTGCAACGTGTTGCTGAGCGGTGTGGTGGAGTACGGTACAGTGCTTGTGTTCACGTGCTCACAGTCCTGCTGGCACGGTAAACCTGTCCTGGAAACTACTCATGTGCAGCCTGAGGTTATATAAGCTGCTGGTGTTTCTAAGGGTGTGTCACCGGGTCATAAGGAAGGCCTTCGGTTCATAGAGTGGGTCACCGGACTTTAAGGTTTGGTGCCAGGTGTCAAAGTAAGTGGGTCGCTGGGTCCTAAAGTGGATCAACAGATCCTAAGGTTTGGTGCCGGGTCTTAAGGTGGGTTGTCGGGTCCTTATGTAGGTTGCCAGGTCATAAGGTGGGTCACCGAGTCACAAAGTAGGCCACCGGTTCAAAGGCGGGTCACCGGTTCTAAGGTGGGTCACCGGGTTCTAAGGTGGGTCACCGGGTTCTAAGGTTGGTTGCCGGGTCCTAAGGTTGGTTGCCGGGTTCTAAGGTGGGTCGCCGAGTCTTAATGTGGGTCACCAGGTCCTAAAGTGGGTCCGGTCTTAAGATGAGACGACGAGGAAGCTGTGGTAATAACTACCAGCGTGCAGCCTAAAGTTACATGAATCTTTCTCACTTCGCATGTCGTAAAGACCGCATTATTTCCCGCACGTTTTCAGGTTAGATTTACTTCGGGAAATGTATTGCCACGCATAATCTATGAATAAAAATATCACTTGATACGTAGTTTAAATAGCAACAGTCGCAAATCGAATGAATCGCAACGATAGTTTAAATCGCATTAAAATTTAGAAGGATAAAGATGAGAAAATTCAATCCATGATATACACTCACAGAAATTAAGGAGACTTTATCCAAATAGCGATGCACTTTTGTCCTCGTGTGCGTCATCTTGTCTTAGTTTGGCCCGGATGAGGGACGCATCAGTGCTACACGCAACAATTGTGTGGCACTATTTGGAGAATACGACCCATCAGTTTTTCTGAGTGTACGAAAATTGTCATCTTGTGCCGCTCTCTACTGTGGATGAGTTCGGAAGCAGACAGTGTAAGGATATCTTTGAAATATGGCCCATCGCTATTGTCCATTCCTCTATACATTGTGTTCACATTTTATTAAGTTAAGTTCGGAATTGTTAAGAAACTGGTACGTTTTTTCTTCACCTCTCCCACACTAATTCTACGACACCTCTCCCACACTTATTCTACGAAAGTATATAGACACTGTAATCTTATAAATATTTGTATATTATTCCTGAAAATTTTGTGATCTCTTATGTTTATTGTCATTCTTAGCGTTAATATTATGTGTGATGGAACTTTTAGCTCCGGTCTCGTGGCTTTGAATTGGTTTTTAGGTGCCCAGGTAGGCGTTCTAATTCCTTCTAACGTGGCGCTCTAAGGTTTCGAACAAACGCAACCAATAAAGTGGAAAACAGTTTATACTAAAAACATTTGAATTTTAGGTTGGTTACCATCCGCTACGAATTACTGTTTTGAACAAAAAACATTACATTATTGAATGTAACCATTCTCATGTTGTATATCACCCTATGTTCATGCAACAGGATCGGAAGCAGACTGCTCAAAATGCTGAGATGTACTTGTTTGGTCAACATATTGACGTACACGTTGATGCGGACGTTGACAATGTTTATACGTTATTAATGTATCTCTCTCACAGGAGTTGGCGATTTTTTCGTAACGTATCCATTTACTTTTATTGTTGAATAATTTTTAACTTTCACCTTATCTTTGGTCAACTTAGTTTACCTACCGTAACTATAAGTATTTTTAAGTTGGCCAATTTTCAGTATAAAAGTATGCCATTCCAGCATCACTGTTTGATGTAAATATGTTTTGAATTAACATACGGTATTTGTTTAGCTTCTATTTCAGGTCCATTCGAATACAACGGCATTTTCAGCGTAAACGAAATCTCCACTACAAACTTGTCCGTTTGTATCGGCTAAGTTCTTGCTCTATTATTTATTACAATTCGCTTCGTGCGCATTGCCGTGGTTGCTACAATATCCATGTCTGATTTTTAGCAATGGGTTCATTTCCATTGCCCCTTTGTAACCACCATAACTGAGGGTTAATTTCTATGAACCCTTTGTTTGGAACACTTAAATTTTTCCAGTTTTTATTTGTTTATTTATAGTGCTTGTACAATTTTTGTGTATCTTGCTGCCGTGAGATATTTTGATCCTGCCAACCACCTCTTGATACAGTACCATCTTAATATATTTTTTAATTAAATCACTGAACAGAACTCGATTTATTCGAGCCTTTGTTTGACGATGTTAAAATTTAGGTATTTATCATTACCGTAAGTACCTAATAATTATTAGGTATTTATTATCGTATTTTGATCTCTGTAGGATTACCTTCGCTTTGGGAGCTGCGACCAAGCAGTTCATACTGTTTCCCAACGATAGGAATAAGGGAATATATACTCTCTTTTTCTCTTGTTTCGCTCGAGTCTTTGACCGAAAATATTTATTTGTCTCTTTTATATTCGACAAATTTATTCATGAATAATTTTAACGTTTCTATTTGCACTTCTTTCTAAGCTCACTATTTAATGTAGATTTGTTACAAGGATATTCGATTTAATTAATGTCCACATCAAGAAATAATCGATTTTCTTCTATCTTGTCCTGAATGAATTTTATAAATGGCTTACATTAAGTTACTTAATAACGTCCCTTTTTATCCAGATTATAAATGAGTGGGATTAATGGAATTTCTAACTTCATGAATAACGGCTCCCAGTGGCGTTTATTTCATATTGATGAGTCGTAAATTATTCGAAAATTGTTTCATCTCGGTTGTACAAAAGTCCCCTTAATAACTCATTACTGTTTAACGTGCAATTAATTTTCAACGCATCTCATTCATCAAATGGATGTTTACATGACGCAATCATGCCAGTTTATTTTGTATTCGCATTCCCTGCCATTTCTGGACACGCGTCAGTCAAAGCTGAAACTTCTGTATTAAATATTTTTTCAAACATTCAATGACCCCCTAAAAATATAGCTAATTACGCCCCGTAAGAGCTGTAGTTTGAAGCTTCAAAAGATGCGCTCGAGTTAAGGAATGTTGTTCAAAGAATTTCCTCTGAACGAGCCTTCACAATTGGTAATGTTTTTCCCCGTACAAATAATTAGTGGTTAATTTCTAATGTTTCTTGTACAACTCTACTTATATTAGTACCACGAAATTGTCCGTCTTGTATTTGCTAAGATAGATTTCCTTAATTGTGTGTAGACAATCGTAGCTTAGAGTCCGTTATGTGTGTACCTAATCAGACTTTATAGTTGTTTATTAACTGTAGAGATTATTTCCATGCCTGGTATGGAGGAGTTAGTGACATGTGCATTGTGTATTCAGCGATTACCATTCGCATGCGCTCCACTCAGCCCTGCCCGGTAACTGATTCAAGAAATGTACTCATAGGTGTTCTTACATTTTATCAATACATCAATACGCGTAAAAAACACAAATTCAGCCTTTTTCAGCGACTGAAATAGCTTACAAATTAATTACCAATTGCACCCCGCTTTGAAAATTAGAGCTCACACAGCTTTTCTAATTGTTAAATCCCAAACTTAATTTAGAACCTGACCAGCTCCCGATTAGAGTCGACCCATTTTCGTACTGGGATATGCTTAGGCTGCTCAAAATTTTCAGAGTGAAGTCATTATTGATCATGTAATCTCTATGATGTTCTCCAACTTGTTTATCTTCTCACGCTTTCTTTACTCTGATACTTTGTTCACCTATGCTCCAAGTATAGATTCATCGTTCGACCTGTTCTTTCTTATATACCGTACTTAAAATAATTCTTGTAACTTGAATTTTTTCATGTATACTTGCTACAGTCTCGAATTAAGTATTTAAGTGTTTAGCCCTTAAAAATATTTATGATGTGCAAGTTACGCCGTTACTGAAAATTTCGCTTCCATGAATTAGCCTGACCTTAACTGAACCTTGTGACCTTGAGTCTTATAATCCAAGAGCTCGTATTGCCCTCCATCACATTTGTTCTTTCATAAAAATGAGGACTTCTGTAATTCATATGCTTAATGGTACACTTCAAAGTAAGTTCTATAAAAACAATGGTTTCGATGAGAACTTTCTTTGCTAAGATACTGAACTTTTGATGCCTATTCGTTGACGAAATTCCTTAGAATCCTTACCCATTACTGATAATGTTGTTCATTGGCGGTAGGCCATAGGTATAGTTACTTGTCTTAATTAAGGAGTCGCATTAAGTGATCTCACACTAGTCAGACTTAGTAAGAGTGTTCTATTACTTAACTGTTGTGCTTGCAACCTCGAATAAGGAAAGTATTCTTCTAAATTTTCTACGTGTGAGTGGCATCTTGAGCGTCCAACCTACTTGGATATCTCTGTCAAATTGAACCCTTAACCCTACCTGAACAGACATGTAGTGACCGTTCTCTGGCACCTCATCGTTGGAGACATTTTGATCATGGACGTATATCATCCTTTATCTATTTAACTTAACCTAAATCTTCTTGTGTTTGAAAAATTCATTCTATGCAATTATGAAATTTTAGGCTCAGGGCAGGATGGCCCAGTGGTTACAGTTCAGAGTACCAAGATTGGCGCAGAGAGGCGCGGGTTCGATCCCAGCTCTGTGCGCCAGTTTCTGGTCAGAATCGGCAAGGAGGCCGGGCGGTTAAGCACAGCAGAATTGTAGCAGTGAGTTGCGAGTTCGAGACCGCAAAATGCTGTGAATGTTCTGCGATGTTAAGAATCGGCGACAGGCCTACGGCCTAATAAACGCTGAAACCGCTTTATTAGTATTATTTAATATGATGATGAATTCTAACAATGATGAACTGCTATTGTGATTGAATGTCTCGTATGATGAGGCGTCTAGCCAACATTGAGAGACATCGAATATCATTAATTCAGGCATGTAGTATAATTCTTTCGGATTAACGTTATTTTTCATTTCTGTTTTCGACCATGGAATGATCAAGTTCAGATGAGTATTATGTGCCGTGAACTTGCAAACAAGATTCAGGTGTATCGAAAGATATTTGAAAATGAAGGTACCGTTTTATGCAAAAGAAAACGTTCGTGAATGCAATGTTTTCCCTTTTTTGTATTTTATTCACCCTTGCGACGCAGTCCTATTTTACGCTGTCTTGAATGTGGTTTGAATTTTAAAGAATTTTGTGGTTTGAATTTAAAGAAATAGACATGTTGGCCATTTTCGGTGGCAGGTACAACGGACAGCGAGTGTTAACGATCGTGCAGCTTCAGATGACATTGATTGTTCATTGTGATCTTGTTATTGTGTCGTATGAGAGGAGTGACGTAATTGTTCAGTGATAACAAGTCGTAAAAAAATTACTATATCCGACTAATTAAGATTCATAACCCGAATTATGATCAGCTGATGCACTTACGATGCCGCATTCACTAATGAACATCTGCTTGACCTGAGGCAGAACTATCAAAAATCGCTAAGTACACATAGCGGCCGAGTTCTCGTCTATGATTGGTGAGGTTAACGTGAAAAACCGTCTGTGATTGGCTGCCGGAGTTCCGAACGTGTAACTATTTTTGAAAGTATGGCTCCTGGTCGTCATTATACAATAACACATTCATCACAGAAGATTTGCCATCATATCGTATTCATGCGTCGTGTGGTATGTGGTTAACCGAAGCTCGCTGTTATGCTGCCATCATAAATGCAATAATGAGGAGATGGTTTATGGTTCCGTCATTCCATTGAAAACCTGCTTTTTCAGACTTTAGTAGGTACCTGCTTGTTACACGAATCGTCTGCAAATTCTCTAATAGTTCGTTATTATAAGATAACTTCAATTCTTGATGGTAATTAAGCACAATTCCGATTTGATTTCTGTGAGAACTAAAAACTAATTCTGTTTGAATTAATGATATGTGGTACTAATAAGTTCACGGTTTCGCTCCTGTTACAAGGTTATTTAATTATAGCGTATTATACCAACTTAAATAAAGTTTCCATGGTTAATTATTCTGCTGTATTCATATTGTATTCATTTTGTTAAATGAGTTTGTCATTTTCATCATTGTTTTTCAAATGCCTCAACCAGTGTATTTTTACCCAAAAAGTAAACTATTAGACCTCAGTGAAATATTCATTATCCTTCCATAAAACCTTGCTTACATTACGCTGCGTCAAGTTATATTATACGCCGGTCTGTTATTCACGGATGAGTCTGATTCTTATGCCTTAATAATAATGTTCTAAAGGGTGATTAATAAGTCTAAATTACCTTTAATAAAATTCTTTCCATTGAATTAACAAATGCCACTGCAATATATAATTATATTTCCCTTGATTAAATAAAGAAAAATGAACTTGATTTGGTTAGCTGTGTTTAAATAAATGCGAAAGAAACTGAATAATTTTGTTCTGTTGAGTGAACAATTACAGTAAACTGCATTTATTGTTTACAATGCGTTACATGGGTTTCTAGTTTCCGGCTTATGCCCCGTTCTCACATTGCCGGTTAAAGGGCCGGAAGTCCCGGAAACGCCAAGCCGGTTGAAATGCCGGATTTATAGCCGGTATATGGGGCAGGGCGTAATATGCAAGGGGCAGGGCGTAATATGCAAGGGGCAGGGCTTAATATGTAATGCCCTCCAGGTAGCTGTCCCGTAAGAGCCGGTAGGTTTCCCGGAAGAGCCGGAGATCCGGCTTCAGTAGCCGGGAGATCCTGCAATACCGGCTGTCAACGTATTCCCGGTACTCCCGGGAGCCTGCCGGAAGTCCCGTATGCCTCCAGGATTTCCAGGTAGATAGCCGGAATTCCCGGAAAAAAGCCGGCAAAACAGCAGGTAGAACCGTTTGAGCAGTAAGAACTGCCGTAAACGAGGGTAGGCTCGGCTTTTTTCCCGGTATTCCAGGTAAGTTATGCAAATTTTGGCCCGCCCCTTTCAATAAAAGCTTTCAATGTTTAATGAAAAGTTCCCCTATTTAATTTAATACCTTTTCCATAATATTCAGATCTAAAGTAAATGGGGACAGGTATTATAAGTTAAAATTGTATTAAAATGTTTAAGGAACTTTATTGAATAAGGACAACTTTTCGGAAAGTAAAAGCAAAAGTGTGTATCAGCTTCAGTTGAAAAATTGTATTCATCTTTAACACAAAATTATTTCAGAAAGTGTTTACAAAGTTATTTCAGACAATTATTTCAGAAAGTGTTTACAAAAAAGAAAATGGTGATAATGTTTCATTTAATTAATCACACCCCATTTATTGTTACATTGTGTTTACAATATATAAACATGCATACCGGTATATCTAATGCAAATTTGCAAAGTTTAATCAGCAGACAGGAAAGAAATGTTAATAATTAACAAAACTTGCACAAAAATGTGAAAAAGTACATCATTTTAACAGCAAAATAAAACGTCTAAATATGAACAATTGACAATGCATTGGCCAAAAAAAAAATAAAAAAAAGTACAAAGTTGAAACAGCACATAGGCTGAAAATGTGAATAAGTGACAATGCTTTCGCACAAAAAAAAATTGGGACGATTTCACCCCTCCCGGTACCCCAGGCTGGTCCCCGGCCGTGCCGGTTGAGTTCTCACATAGCAACGGAAGAGAAGGTTGGCTCCCGGATTTTTATGGTTCCGGGCGTATGTATGAATAATTTTTCCGACCAAGCCGGATTATGGCCACGCCCTCCAGGAACTCTAGGAACTCCCGGATCTCATTTCCCGGATCTCCAGTTTGATAACCGGTACCCCAGGAATCGATTCCGGGTGTCTTCCGGCCCTTTAACCGGCTATGTGAGAACGGGGCATTAATGAGCACACTAATTAGGTAAGAATAACATTAAGGGCTCGCTAATTTGATAATATCAAAGAGCTCACTAATTTGGTACGAATAACATTATGCGCTCACTAATTTGGTACGAATAACATGAGCTCACTAATTTGGTACGAATAACGTTAAGAACTCACTAATTTGGTAATCTTGAATAACATTAAGGCTCACAATCTGATAAGAATAATATAAAGAGTTTCTAACTTTGTAAAAATAACATCAAGAGCTCACTAATTAGGTAGGAATAACATTAAAGGCGTCGGTACAAATTTGCTGGATGATTAGAAGAAAAAAAAAACGATTTGATCGCTCATCGTAATTAGAACTGCTGGGATCCTGTATCGGCAGTCCGGTAAGAGTTCTTTGCCAATTCCACCTGACGAATGCATTTCCTCACTCTGCCATTCGAGCTAATTAGATTTTTTCCACTCAAAGTGAAAGTGAGCTCTTTCAGAGCCTCGAACAAATGAATTGCTGAGCCTTTTTTGTTGACAATATTTTTGTTGTTCGTGTGGAGCGCGTCTCAGCTGAACAATTGCAATATATTCTGAGTTTAATTTTCGTTATAAATTAGTCGTAGCGCGCGTACCATTTGGTTTACTTTTATGCGCTGTAGCTGTGAACAATTTTCATGTTGATGAGGCTTTAATTGTTAGACAAATTTTGTTAATATGCTTTATAGTCTAAAGTTTGGTTTAAACGGCGGCATGGCAGCCTTTGCATTTTCATTCAATAGTAGATCAAACATTGTATCTAAAACAATTTTTGTAGTTAACATTAATGAATCTACAAAATTGCATAGATTTTATTCCAAATTAAAATTGCGTACAACGAATCAGCGCAGCCTTTTCAATGACCTCCGAGGCTCCGCCCTCCATACCGAACTCTGCAGAGTAGCTCTTTAGTTTTAAGTCCCTTACGAGCCTTCTGAGCTTTACCA